AATATATGCCCGTTCCATTATTTCTTGAGGAAAGAGTGAGGCAACAGTATCAGATGTTAAAATTTCTTGGGCACACACACGAAATAATGGCATTTTTTTCTTGACCCTTTTCTTGAGACCTGCATACTGGCCTTATGTATGTTAGTGTTTGTCCGAGCTTCTTCTCCTATTGTGGCCCGCCAAAGAGGAGGGACCTACAATTTTACGCCGACTCCGAACGGTGATTGTAGTTTTATGAGTTTTTCATAGCAGAAATACACTCGGAGGTTTGCCATTGCCTGTCGAGGCCGTTGTTAAGAAAAAACCTTTTTTCTACATTTTTTGCGATGTTGCTTTGACCAAGGCTTGAACCCTGGCCCTGCGCAGTGGAAGTGGCCGCCGGCCGCAGTCAAACCACTCAGTAAATAAATAATTAGTAAAATAAAAGTAGTAGTCGTCGAATCGACGAACATTAGTATTCTAGGGTTAGCAAACAATTTAAGTAGTTATCCTACACTATTATCAATAATGCGTGCATTTTAGTTAATATCCAGAGTTCGTATTTGCACACACATGCGCAGCACATCCTAACATTTTACGCTCATACACGTGTTCTGTGCATATAAAAAATTAAAAACTTGCTCACATCACATGGATTTCCGTTTGGTAAAATGCACGGGCACATGTGTGTACTTTATTTTTATTTATATAAAGCACACGCACATGTGTGTGCCTTGCGTAGATAAACTTATACACTTCGAATTCTAACCCAAATCTTAAAATAATTTTTTAATATGTTTTCTGTCATATAAAAAACAAACAACATATCACTTTTTTATTGAATTGTCTTAAAAAAAAACATAATAATAACATTAATAACAACCCAGTCGGAAAAGTAGTAATGCATTACATGCGTGATAAATAATATAATGTATTTCTTATGAGTTCTCGATTATATTACTGCTGACTATGTAATTAGCATTCTAATCAGTATATTTTGCTTTGCTGCCTTTATGCTTAAGTGCACATTTAAGATACCTACCCCAAAATGCGCATCAGCGGCATTATTTTTAACATTTATAAAGAAACTGCTCCGATAGATGCATTCAACATACCTGCACATTAGCGATACCTGCCTTACAAATTTGAAACTATTATCAATTATCAAAGAAAGTATTACGTTTACCTGCACTGGCCCTATACTTACCCTAATTTTATAAGGTTTTATTTATTTTTCTCATCTCGCAGAATAACGAAAACGGCCATCATTTTAAATATGTAGTTAACAATTAGATACCATTCGGAAAATTTCGCTTGCAGTAATTTCCACGTGGTTATTTGGTTTCATAGGGATTCGGATACCTTCCTCATTGAAGTAGTAAAGAAAATTTGCTTAAGTGCTTTTTTCGGTTCAGCGCACAAGTTTTTCGCGCAAAGAAGGATGGGCAGCTAAGCAAAATATGCTGTATTCAAAAAGCTCCAAAAATTTCATATTAGAACACATTCATTTCTCGGTTCTAGGTAATGCAAAATTGAATGCCCCATTTTTCTTAGGACATCGCCCTAGGGAAAAAATGCGTTTTCGAATGTGAAAAGGGTTGTTTTACTGATTATTTTTTCGATTACTATTCCACTATTTCCCACTGGGAAACAGCACATACTTTTCTGTGAGCAGAGTTTGTTTTCCACTTAAGCACACACATGTGTACAAGCAGTGAATGCAAGTTTAACGTCCCTGCAGTAAAATTTAGAGACAGTCTGTTAAAACGCTAGTTCCGCTCTATACATTTCAGAACTATCTCCGAACTAGTGCAAAACGGCTGCAGGGGGGGACAGTTGAAACTTTTGGTGTGGTAGTTGCGCTCTGTTGAGAAGTAAATGCACAAATTCTCACTCCTCGTACAATACTAAAATAGCTCAGCGGGAAAACCTCCGACTCCAACATCGTTGGTCGCGAGTTCAAATCGCGGTGGAGGCGGTTGTGATTTTCAGATTTAATAAATTTAAATTGTTGAGTTCCGCTTAAAAATTTAAGAGAAATTAATCAAATCTAATATAATTAAAATAAAAGAATAAAATAAATAAATAAAATGCAATCTGTAAAAGAACAGAAAAAATTAAAAAATATCAAAAAATCTGATAACCAACATTTTTTTCATAAACCACCTATTGTCGCAGATCTGTCCAAAACGGAAAAAGTTCAGAAAAGAAAAAATATCCAGTAATTTGGTTTAAAAATGTTTTCCCATAAAAAAACTTATTGGCCCAGAACTGTCGAAAATGGAACCAGTTCAGAACTATTTCCAAAGTTCTGCAGAGGTGACAATTTCCACTTCGTAGGACATCGCCATGTAAAAAGAAACAGTTGAAAACGTTGCGTTGGGATAGATCGAGAACCAGTACCGCCTCTTAATGAGCTAGTTCTGAACTAGCGCAATTTCCTTCAGGGGTGTTTCTTGCGTGTGTGTGAGCAGAGAATGTGTGTGCAAATACGAACCCTGCAAATATCTAATAAATTTTATTTTCAAGAGCATGGGTTTATATATGTAATGAAATAACAATAGAATTTTGATAATATATCTATACATATAATAAAATTGTAACGGGTCGATGTCTGCACATTATAGATATTAAAGAAAAATTAATGTGGGAGGTCTTTCTTACAGCACCAGAAGCCAAATCAACCATTTTTTAGAATTTTTGTCTGTCTGTCTGTCTGTATGTTTGCACGCGCATCACTCGAAAATGAATTCATGGAATTGAATGAAGTTTTCACCGATGTATTGCTGGAGGTCTAACTTAAAATATAGAAAGGCAAAAAATTAGAGAGTTGCCACCTGTATGAAAATTGAAGTTTAAGTAAATTGATAAGAAAAAGTGAATATTGCAATATGGGCGTCAAAAGAAAGAGGCTTAAGAAGGCTTACAGCCGAAAATTTTTCTTAGAGTTGCCACCTGTTTGAAAATTTTAATTTAATTTAATTTATAAGATAAATTGAATATTGCAATATGGATATTAAACTGAAGAGGTTTAGGAAATTTTACTGCCGAAAATATTTTTAGGGAGGGTTGCCACCTGTTTGAAAAATTGTATTGTATTATAAATTGATAAAATAAATGAAATCTATATCTATACTTATAATAAAATTGTAACAGGCCGATATCTGTACCTTATAGATATTAAAGAAAAATTCATATTTTGGAATTTTTATTAGAGCTACAGAAGCCAAATAAAAAATTTTTAGAATTTTTGACTCTGTCTGTCTGTATATTTATATGCGCATCACTCGAAAACTAATGCATGGAAATGAATACAGTTTTCACCGATGGATAGGATAGGAGAAAAAAATTTGAGAGTTGCCACCTGTGTTTAAAATTTCAGTTTAGGTCCATTGATACGGTAAAGTAAATATTGCAATATGGCTGTCAAAA